TTTTTTTTTTTCTATATATAATGTCCTTTTTATATTCAATAAAAGAGTAATCATTTTAGAATATATATATATTGAATATTTGTCTCTTTTATTTCATTTGTCTTTATTTAAGACCAAATAAACTTGGATGATAATAAGATCAATGATGGAGACCTATGTCTTGTTGACGGTGGTACAATACATGCCATTTTGAGAAATAAGAATTATTTTTCTCAATTAAAGTTGACTGAGGCTAATGTTCATACAATATATGGTATGGCAAAGTTGATTGAAGGCTCTGGAAAGACTTGCATTTTATTGCTTGGAAGAACAAAATTATTAATACACGATACTCTATATTCTAACAGATCAAATCAAAATCTACTAAGTTTTAAGAATATACGTTGTAATGGTTTCCATATTGAAACCATGGAGGAGAATGGAATAGAATTCCTCCATGTCACAACTTTTGCATTTGGAAAAAAGAAAATATTGGAGAAAATGTTAACATTCTCTTTTGGATTGTATTATACATGTATACATCCAATAGAATTCAATGCTGTGAGTAATAAGAAAATAGTCAATCCAGATGCCTTTATCCTTTGGCATAATAAACTTGGTCATCTAGATACTATTATAATGTGGAGAATTATAGAAAATTCACATGGACACCCATTAAAGAACTTGAAAGTTCTATTATCAAGTGATTCTCATGTGTTGCCTGCTCCCTGGGTAAATTAATTACTAGGCCTTGTGCAATTAAACTAGAAAATGAACTCCTCCATTTTTGGAACGAATTCAAGGAGATATTTGAGGACGTATAAATCTGCCAATCATTTTGATATTTTGTGCTGTTAATAAATGTTTCAACAAGATGGTCACATGTTTATCTATTATCTACACGCAATGTTGTGTTTGTAAGGTTGCTTGCATAAATAATAAAATTCAGGGCACAATTTCGTGATTATACAATAAAAAAAAATCCAACTTGATAATGCGGGAGAATTTACATCCCAATCATTTAATGATTATTGTAAAGTCAATTGGGATTACTATTGAGCATCCGGATCCTTATATGCATACACAAAATGGTCTGGCTGAATCTCTTATTAAACGTCTGCAATTAATTACAAGACCGCTACTTATGAGATTAAAGTTACCCTCTTCTACTTGGGGTCATGTTATATTGCATGTTACAACATTAATTCGATTAACGCCAACTGCTTATCATAAGCATTTACCATTACAACTTACTTCTTGAATTGAACCAAATATATCCCATTTAAAGGTTTTTGGTTGTGTTGTATATGTTCTTATTGTTCCTACATAGCTTACTAAAATGGGTTCCCAAAAAAGGTTGGGAATTTATGTTGATTTTGAATCACCATTTATAATTAAATATTTTGAACCAATGACTAGTGATCTCTTCACAGCAAAATTTACTGATTGTCATTTCGATAAAAATTTGTTCCCAACATTAAGAGGAGAGGAACAAAAGTTGAAAAAATAGGAATTAACTTGGGATGCATTATTTATATCTCATTTAGACCCTCGAACATGTCAAAGTGAACTAGAAGTTCAGAAAATTATTCATTTGTAAATTATTGCAAATCAATTGCCTGATGCATTCACTAATGTAAAGAAAGTAACTAATTCACAGATCCCAGTTTTGAATGCTCTTACTTGAATTAATATTCTTGTCGAAAAAGGTGTTAAGACAATAGCAAATGAATCTACTATACACCAGAAGCATTGTAGACCTGTCGATTCCAAATATAAAAATCCAAGAATGAAGAGAAAACAAAATGCTGGTTTTATTGAAATTGTAAAAACTCAAGAGTTCTCTAAACATAGTCAAAAAATGGATCTAAAGAAATAATCCTAGAAAAGGTTCAAGTTCTTGAAAATGATGAAGATGCAGAAATTGCAGATAATTATGAGATCTTAATAAATTATATTTCCACTAGGATAAGAAATGATGTTGTCATTAACGATGTTCTTGCATTTGCAATAGCAAATGATATAGTCAATGAAAATGGAGATTTTGAACCAAAATCCATTGAAGAATGCCAACAAAGAAGTGATTTGCCAAAATGGAAAGATGTAATTAAGGTAGAATTGAAATCATTAGAAAAACACCAAGTTTTTTAGACTAATTGTCCAAACACCCAATAATGTAAAGCCTGTTGGTTATAAATGGGTGTTTGTGAGAAAACCAAATGAGAAAAATGAGGTTGTGAGATACAAAGCCAAACTGGTAACTTAAGGCTTTACACAAATACTTAACATTGATTATGAGGAAACATATTCTCCTGTAATGGATGTAATTATAGCTAGGTTTCTAATAAATTTAGCAGTTTTTGAAGGCCTTTAAATGCTCCTCATGGATGTTGTAACTACTTACTTCTACGAATCACTTAACAGTGACATTTTTATAATTAATAATTAATAATAATTAATTAATAAATTAAAATCAATCAACAAATTAATATTTTTAAATATCATTTTAAAAAAATTAAAATTTAGATAACCTCAATGAGGGGTGAATGGCCACAGCCGGTACAAACTCCATGACCACCTATAAAATTTAGGCAGTTAAACATATGAAAAGAAAAACACAGTGGTGTTCACATTGCCTGCCTAGCGCAACTCGCTTCAATTATTAGTGGGATGTTTTCTGGTTTGTTAAAATATATATATATAGTGGTTGAAAATTATTTTACAAGAGAAATTGTATATAGTTCACCTTATAAAATTATTTAAATATTTTTAAAAATAATATAAAAATAAAATTAAGGATATTTAAGTGGTTTTATAAGACATTCTGCATTCAGTCCTTATGTAAAATAGTTTTCTCTGTTAATGGGATGGTATTTAAGCTCGGAACAAGGGATAGCATTTATTATACGTTTGGATAAAATTCAGTAAAGGGAGAAGAAGGAAGGCAAGAAGGAGGAAAGAGAGGGGAAGGGAGGGAAAACAAAATATTAGTATTAATTTTGTTGGGATAGATGAAAAAGAGGAAG